ATTTGGAGTGCTCCAAATACCTCCATTTTGGACTGAATCGAAGTTTATTACAAGGAATGTCAGCAAGTGTGACAGAACTGAAACGTTAGCTAAAAAGCTTGATATAGATTATACACTTGGCAATGCCAATGGCCGTCCTCAATCATACTTGAGCCTGGTCACAATAAATTATTGCTATCCCTTTTGTAATTGAAATAACAAAAAAATGCTGATAGCAGCACCCCAGTTTAAAGTGCTCAGTTCTGAAGAAATATTTATAAGCATCTAGAAGCTTCTAGTTTGCTAAAGGCTCTTTAATAATAAATTGAAAAAGCTTTTGAATTCTGCAAACACATAGTGTAACACTTTTTTTTATTTGTTCTCATAGGAAGGGATGAGTAAAATGTGTATGTTTATGATGTTTGTTTAAGAGGTGTTCAATTTTATGAGAAAAAAATGTAAAAGAGAAAACTTTTAAAAAGTACTTGAGTGAAACGTGTATATGGTTTGCATTTACATCATCTAACATCTTTTTATGAGTATACAAAAGTCTTATTTGAAATATACAGTAGTGCATGTTTTTTTCCTGAATACTCCTAAATCATACAATCCGTACAATGCAATTTTGATCAATTGCACATGAAGCTATGACATGACATGAAGACCACACTTGAAGACCACATAAGGACTAGACTTAATCAGAAGCTGATTAGAATGTTTGTCCGTTGTAAATATTATTGTCTAGTTCAAAATGCCTGTGTAATCGCAAACCACCAACATGCCAAACCAACATTCGTGCTGCATCCTCAGCCTTTTGTGTTATTCTGTTATACAGACTCTTATCCAATCAGTCATCAGGAAGGCATAGACGCCTTATACCGTAAAATCTTTGTTAGTGGTTGCACGGGAAAAGAAAATTAGAATTATACTGCTTTAATTTCCAATCGTGGGTTCAGAGCTTGAGTTCGAAAAGCTTTTTGTATATTCAGTAATAAACAAGGTGGAGTCACTTAGAAAGTAAAGATGAAAGGTTTACAGTACAGTATGTGTGTACAATATATGTACAGTATATATCTTTACACATTACAGTGAAGGCATGAAACCAGGGATCTTGCAAAATACCAAAATATTAAACTGGAACCAAATATTTAGTAATTTTGTGAAATCCCTTTAATGTGATATATTCACACAAACAACATGTATTAGTGATACAATTCGAAATTTATTACTATAATATTATAGAATTATAGTAAACTCATGATAAAACACAGTCATCTAGGGTTAGTAAACTCAGTGTAACTGTAATATACTTCTGTTATTTAATATAGATTAGTTATTTAATGCTGACTTAAGTGTACCATATGTTTTGTAAAAGTAACCATTTATTTATTATAGTTTAAGTATTGATTAAAGTGGTTTACTTTTCTTACTCCTATTGTCTATTGTCATCCTCTAATACTGTTGTACTACAGTTCTTTCCTGCTGTTATACAGATAATCCAGCCACACCTTTGCACATACCACAAACAGTACCTGTGTCCTTTGCCCGACGAAAGCAAAGAGTGAGTAGCACATGGTGTATCTGTACTGTACTGTATATCTCTTAATCCACTAATTTAGTTACATCCTAATAAATGCCATATTTGGCAGACTCACATATCTGAGGGAATGGCAGCACAGCATTGAAGATAAGGCTACCCAAATCCCCCCCACTATCATTAGGAATGACCAACGGTGTTGCTACAATGGGGTAGATGGGGTGCCAGGGGGGATGTGAGAGAGATTCACAAAGGAAAGTCCTGGATTCTAAATTTAGATTTATCCTTCTACCCAAACTCCTGTTATAAACTCAATTTGTGGGCGAGCTTGAGCATGCAAACAATGGAGCAATTTCAAGATAATATAACTACAGTAGAATTAGAATAGCTCCATGGTTATTTTAAAGTTTTTTAAGAAATTTGCCTTTTAGATGTTTGCTTGTTGGTATATATAAAAAAGAAAATAGTCAATATCACACAATTACAGTTTCAAACGGAAAGTTTCAAACGGTAAGGACTGCTTTTTTGATGACTTGTCGGGGGAAAAAAAGTTTAAATCTCAGCATAAATGTTGAATTTTCTTTGGCTCTTAAGTAAATTTTAAAAGCTGGAAAAAATATTAAATAAAGAAAGTTTTTTTTATTTAAATTATTTTATGACATGAGAAAAAAAACTTGAATAATTATTAACAAACTAAACTCAAGAAGTTCACACAGCCAGAAAGTGCTTTAATATGCAAATCTGGATGACCTGCAGGATGTCGTGCTGTGCAGCCATCTGTCAGCTATAAAATTATATTCAGTGGAGCTGACAAAAGTAAACCAGCCAGCACAGAAGCTGAACAACATCACAGATTTTAGTTTTTTTACACTTTGTGTTCATCTTTGACCTCCGTATGGTACGCTCCCTAACCAAATAGGTGGAATGTTGAAAAACAAGGAAATATTGATTACAACAGATTGAGCAAAGTCAGTGTAAAAGGGGCATAAAGTGGCAAATGTTCTGCTTCCCAATTGTCTTAGTTCTTTACTTACTGCACTGTGAAAATAAAGGCCCACAGAGTGAGTTTGCATTGTTAAAAGGTTGTAGATGGGGATAATATACAAAGGTCTCGAGCCCATTTTAACACTGAAAAATTGGTGCAGGAAGCACCATCAGCCCACAGCTAGACAGAAACAACAGGGTAAATTACTGGAAATCAGAGTGTATTTTAATGAGAGAGGCCTTTGCTTCTGATTTTGTTTTGTTGTAGTGTCTATCAGGGGAAAGCATTTAACATTTTGTTTTGTAGGCCATGGATACAAAAAGAACAGTATAGTAGAATAGTATAATAAACAGTTTCAAAACAGATACTGCTGAATTATTTTTGTTGAAGTGTTTGCAATAGGACCACAGTTTTACTTCTCAGCCAAAGGACAGAGCAATGCTCTAGAAAAATGCTCAGAGTAACACACAGTGGATCAGAGGCAATACAGGAGATTGAACAGGTAACCTCCCGATAGTAAGCCTTTTACCTTAATCTTTGTGCCACCCAGCCTGTTACATCTGATATTATCTTGTAAGTCCAATCAACTCCCATCAAGATGATTCATTCGTACTGCTTGAACTGAAGGCAGGCCACTATTTTTCAAGCTTTAGACAAACTTGTAAAGGGGATGAGAAATAATGCCAGCACAAGAAGTTCCTTTGCATACCAGTCTCAGGAGAAGACATCAATCGCTTTACAAACATGTGACTTGGCAAAACGTACATTGACTCAGCACTTTTCCTGTTTATACAGCAATATATTAGTCAGAAGTCAAAAGAGGTGGAATGTTCTGAAAACGATATCCTACTACCTATTCCAAGTGTCACTTATTTTACTTTGCTTTATAAAATCTAAATGGAAAAGATAATGGCATTCCTATATTTCATCTATTTTTTTTCCAGTCCAATTTCATGCTTTCACTGTGGTTTAGCTTATTAAAAGTCAGTGTTGAGTGCAATACATACAGTAATAAAAAAACACATCCCCACACTGGAGAAAAATAGCACTGCTGTAAATATCAGATAAATAATTAGCTTATCCAGTCACAGTTGCTTCTCTTTGTAATGTAAAGTAGGTGAGTTCCTGCAATATGATTAGATTAGCTTTTCAGTAAACAGTAATTTCACCTCTCACAGTATTACCAAGAGGTACAGCTTGATAAGACTACAATAATTTCATATTCTTTGCTATATGTGTCATTTGTATTTTTCATCTTTATCATTCTTTTATTAATATAATAATCAAGTTAATGAGATTGTCATTTTTTTTTTCAATAAGAACATTTTTGGTCGTTAAGCATATAGTTTAACCCAGGGAGTTCTCAACATTTTCTGATTGATGCAGCCTTTTTCAAGAAAATAATTTCAATACACATCTATATGTTAGTAAATATTGTAAATAACACTACTATTAATAAGCATTCAAAGCAGATATTGTATACAGACGCAAGAGGACCAGTGATATTCTATACTGCAAGATTTTAGGTAAGGTTTTTTTTCTGGGGATCCCTAAACATTCACTGAAAACCCTCAAGTGCTCCCATGTCCTTGATTTGAAATGCTTGGCTTATTATAATTCAAGCACCTGAGTCCTCCAGCATTACAGTATATCCATACAAATATTAGAAATGTTACAAACCAGAGGAGCCCATTAAACCCATCTTACTTGTTTAGTTTGTAGTAGATTATTGATCAGTTTCTCATCTAGCTGTTTCTCGAAAGAAGACAAAGTATCAGTTTCAACAATATAGTTAGGTAGCTTGTTCCAAATCACCACTATTTTTTTGTGTGACAAAGTGCCTCCTGTTCTCAGTTGTAAAAGTAGTTTCTTACAGTTTCAGCTTGTGTTCTCTGATTTGTGTTGCACTGAATATTTTGAAGACCAACGAGTTGACTTTGTGAATGCATTTTTTGAATACATGAATCAGGTTCTCTTGCAGACTTCTTAACCTCTCTCAGGGCTAAAAATGTTCAGCCCTTTTATCCTGTCAGTGTAAGATATACTCTACTTGTAAGGCTGGGAGTGCATCTGATTGTTTTTTTATTGACTTATTACAGAGCAGCAGTATCATTTATGTAATGTAATAAACAATATTGTACACAATGTCCTTAATGAGATCTTCCTACTACATTGTACAGTTCTAACTTTGATAACATTGATTTAGTAACATAACTTTGAAATATAACATCAATTTTAAATTCTACTCTGTTGACTATCCTAGCCGTCTGCTTGCCTTTTTCATTGATTACCCACATTGTCATACATACATAGATTACATAGATTATACTTATAAATAGTTAATGTACTGTGAATCTATAATGTAGGCATCTCGACTTTGGGTACAAAAGAAATATTGACTTTTTTGTTTTAATTTGATGTGTTTAATAAATAAAGCCCATGACGTTTTAACATTTGGTTACGTGAAGCAGTTTTCTTTTCGGCATTACTAGGCCTCACCTTGTTTCGTCAGGATGAACTGGATAATCAAAGGGTGGTTTGGGCAATCTGGAAGTACACAACATTTTAGGTAAAATACTCATCTGAATCAGATGTGTCTATTTTACACCCTAACATCTGATTGATTCAAAGTCAATTCATCTTTTAATCTTTGAGTTAATTGGTTGGGACTTAAAAACATCAATGCAACATTACAAGAAGATTTCAATAGCCAAAAAAACAGGCTGTAGCTCCTAAATTACCAAAGAAAAGGACGTTAAGCAGCAAAACAGGAGAGATACAATGGGAAGCAATCATTTCATTTCCTTAAGTTTGAAGGTTCCAATATTGTTAACAATTCATTTACATGGAAGAATGCTGTAACTTTTACTTTAAGCTGCATGTCTTGCTACTAATCACAGTTACCACTGGAGAGAAGATGGGTGTTTCTGGTGGCATACAGGAATCCTCATTAGGCCAGAATCGGACAGACAATTACTGGCTTAATCCTTTGCAATAGTGCAGTGAACTCAATCTTCACCCTTGGAGACCAAGTCGATATGTAAAATGGATTAAGTTGATTCCTCCCCATCACTACAGTAAACAGTTCCCTTTAATTTTGTGTTGTGAAGTTATTTGACTTCTCTCCCTCTTTATTCAAATGTGTAAATTAAATAAACTAATATACTGTATGTTCATGCCGTGATACTGTACATGTTGTATAGTAACTCTGGAACTGGAATTCATGCCCTTATATTGCGTACAGATTTGGCATGGATATTTTTAAGCAGCTTCTGCTTGGCACTGAAATCCTGCAATCATTGAAAATAGATAATTTCCAAAACACTGTTAATACGTATGTGGGCGTGCTGTCCAAGAAAATATCCTTCTGTGACTGCTTCATTATATATCAATCTCTAGCAACATTTATATGAAATGACCCCAGGCATCCGTCATTCTGAGAGACATCAGAGCTTCTTTTCATTAAGATAAAACCATCCCTGCCAGGTGTGCTGGATGCTGATTTTTTCCCACCTCACTCTGTACACAAATCTTTAACCACTTTGCTTTACAAAATCTTTTAAGTTTCTTTTATTGACTCCTCAATCAAAATCTGGCTGTGCACAATTTCAGAACTCAAGGTTCTCCGAAAATGTTTTTTTTTCATCTTAATCATTATTTGTTTTCCAGCACTGAATTATACATTTAGTATGCGAAGCACTGAGCTCTGTATCTGCCAGCATTTCTCCTTTGAAGCTGCTTGCAATTTACCTTGTTTTACAGAAATTATATTTTTTTTTACAGTCTCAAAATCTAAAAGCAGTATGATATAAGATTTGAAGCCTATCAGCTTCCAGTTTTCTTAGCTTGAAACAAATGTGCTCTCTGTAAGCTGTTTTTAATAGCCTTCCTAGTTAGCATGCTCGCATTTCCATTCAGCAGCATTCTCCAAGTGACACGGAGCACAGCAATCAGAACCTCATTACCGACAGCTACCATCTAAGAGGAGGTCTGACGTGAGAAGCTTCGATCACAGCAGTATTTCTGCTGGCGGTGATTTCGCTCTTCCCAACATTCACAGTGAACGTTAGTTCAGAAAACCATTGTGATTTGGCCTGGGAATCCACAATCAACACAATGTTATAGAAGTCCCACAAGACAAACCAACCTGCCATATGTTCATTCTGCCTAATTATTAAACTGCTGCCATGTAAATGAAACATGGAGGGGTTATTATTGCTGTTCAAAAATGAATTCATGTTTTTTGACACCTATGTATCTTCCTTCTTTAGACATGTTTTTGTTGTCTTTATTTTCCCAATAAAAATATAATAAAATGCTCACCTCATAAAAGTACAATCTCCTCTCGGCCATCTTCCTCAATGTTGCCGATTTCTCTCTAAAGAATCTTAATTTACAGCCCAGCTGCTACAATGGAACCCCCACATAACAAAGCTTGGGCTGGAAGCAGCACTTCAAGCCTCCCATGTCCCCCCACTGAATGCAAGCAGTCTGAAGTCCCCTATAAACAGTATCAAGACAGGACAAGTTCCAGTGATGCCAAGCGAGGCAATGTGGGAGGTTTCCCTCACAGTGCCAACAACTGTTAAACTGCAGCCAGACCAGCCAGCCAAGTCCATTTCTGCCGCTCTGAGGGGTCCAGATTAGAGTCACCGTCCAGCAAGGTAACTCACTGGGAACAGGGAATATCCTTATTTAGACTAATGGAAAAACAGACTTGTTTCCAGAACTTAACTACTGGACATTCCCAAAATGTATAAAGATATGCCCACCGCGTCTCCTACACAGAGTGCACACAGGGCACTGGAATCTAGCTTCTACTAGGAGTCAAATAACGATGGAAAGAGAGGAAGGATTTATATTATCTAGAATATTGTCTGAGAAAATGGCCACATATATAGTACAATGTTCAAGTCCCCGTTTCAAATACCACAGCCAAGAGTTGATCCTGTATTAAGCCAAAAATTAGAGTAAAGCAGTTCCCTTATATTCATTTTGTATTTTATTCCCTTTGCATTGGGAATACAGATAACTCTGCCAACCCCAGGGAACACCATTGGCATCTGTTGTAGAACAGAAACATACGTATAAAAAGGCGATCCCAAAAATGTGTGTTATACTAATTGCAGGTTCCAGAATGAGTGAAGTTGCCTTTGTCACCCCAGTGTGAAAGAGAGAAAGGAGCATTGCCTGTAAGAAGTTTGTGATGATGAAAAATAGGACAACGAGCATGCCATGTCTCCTGCAATTTTGTTAGTCATTCTGCTGAATGCCAAGTCTTAATTAATTGTAGAATTACAAGGCCGAGACAACTGTGTATCTCCCTATATGCAGTACAGTACGTGGCATAGTGAAGAAGTTTGAGAAATCTGTTTTAATCATTTAATTTGTATTTTATTGTTTCGTAGGATTCTCATGTACTTCTCATAAGAATTATTGAATTGCCAAACGCTATCTTTTTTACATGAACACAAGCATAAAATTGAGACTCGTGGATTAATTACTTCTGTAGGCAGATAGATTGTTTAATTAAGGTATAGATACAAAATGTGGATTTGTTGTTGCCAGAGAGCTACCTCAGTTGGATGAGTTTAAACTAAGGAGCACAGGAAATTAAATTCTATTTAAAAAGTTTAAAACATTTGGCAAAGCAACTGTCCTTGAACTTTGTTTCTCAGTTATTTCTTTCATAGCCAGTATTGATTTCCTTGTGCTCTCTGATACGTTTCTTGTCTGTTTAAAGGAACAGGGTCCCTGTTGTTGTTAGTTTTGTATCCTTCATGTGACCCTGAAGTAAGACATCAGTTTTTAATTTTTTTTCTGCTAGCTGAGTTTAAAAATACAGCTGTCTGAAATGTGTAAATGTGTTCCAGAAATAAAATTAAGAGTTTTAAATTAAAAAAATTCTAGGTAGCTAGATTGTGCAGTTAAGACATTTAAATCTACTAACTACTATATATCATCAGAATCCAAATGTTGAATTTGAATTTGTTTATATGTCTTTCGAGTTATGTATGTCGTACAGTAAGACTAAATTTAGTCTGTATTTCTGAAAGTAGTCCGGGAGAAAAATGTTATTTAAGATTGAAAATAGTGATAACTAAATTTAAATTATTTTAAATTAAATCTCAGGTTTTTTTTGGTTTCTACTTTCATCCATCCATTCCTTTTCTAACCTCCAATTCAGGGTCGCGCCTATCCCAGCAACCAGTGGTTGCAAGGCAGGGTACATCTTTGATAGATCACACAGAAACTAACGCACTCACAACAGGGACAATTTTCCCAGAAGCCAATTAACCTATCAGTATGTTTTTGGACAGTCAGAGGAAACTGGAGCACCCAGAGGAAACCCATGCAAACACAGGTATTGCATACAAACTCCATGCAGATACAGTAGGTCCAAATTTGAACGAAAGGCCCCAGTGTTGTGAGACCTTTTCTTTTTTCATCCTATTATGAAATTAAAAGTATTTTAAAACAAACTGTTCAATTTTGTTATAATCTGATTTGACACATTTGTGGGGAATTTTCTTCAGTGGTACAGTTTTACTTTAAAGTACTGGGCTGGGAATTTAGTCAATGTTTGTTGTTTGATGAGCAAGACATTAGGAGAGCCACTGCAGTCTCACCGATTGTAGACATCACTGTATTTAGCCTTGCCTATGGAATTTTTAGACTTCAACTGGGATGCTGCATGTGGAGTTGAACAACAGGCCAGGAATTGCCGAGATTTGGTGGAGCTGAGTCATTTTACAGTGCCTAGAGCATCTTCAGTAAAAAATGTACAGTATTTAATCTCCAGCTATCACTTCAGTAGTCTGTTCAAATTCTTCTAACAACAAAATAATCCAATGATTTTAAAGGAATAACGTATTTAATACTTTGGCATTAATTTGCCTGGCTGAGGAAAATACATTGCTGGCCGAAGATCAGCACTAACACAGTCCCCCCTCACTTAAGAGGAATGAACCAAGGAGGCAGCTGTAAGGTGATGAGTGCTAGAAACGATGGGCACAGAGTGTGGGCAGTCAGCCAGTATTAATACATAGGAGAGTGAAAGCGTGAGATTACAATTTGACCTTCTTCAGAATGTCTGTTAAAAACACTATAAAATCTTCTGTAAGGCATTGTGCAGTCTGACCATTTGTGAAACAGCGGGTATTGTGATAACAAACTGTTGGAGGAGCGCGTCCTCTAACAAACCTCTATATCCTCCTGTGGGTGCAAGAGCAAAGCTGCTAGCTAAGTTCATCAACAAAGGACCACAATTTATGGCTTTAAAATGGGGAATATTTTCCAACTGCATATTATATCACTCAAACAGGTTTAACTTGAAAGACCAAACCAAACCCCATAAGCTTTAAATGAACATTATTTAAACTGTAAGGACCCATATACTATGTGGCCTACCTTTTAAATCGTAGTCAATCCAAAAACAAGTTAAAATTCCTATGTGAAAAAATTCTGTCTAAAAAAATTAAAGCTCAAAACAAATCTTTATTATGCAAATGTAATGCCGCTCAGGCTTTAGTTTCATTCTGCTGTTTGACGAGAGGAGATATCGTCACCTCAGGGTCTCTTCCTTATTTCTCAAGTAGAGAAAACTTGCTGAGTTAATCATACGAGTTAATGTACCCATGGATCTGTTGCTGGTTGTGCTGTTTTCTATTAGATTTTTCTGAAAGCGGTAGTATGTTATTTTATTTCCTGAATACACATATACCGCATACAATTACAGCTATGAATGTGTACTTCACCTCTCAGCTGCTTGGTATACAGCGGAACAGGCCAAGACTAAATGTCTTAATTTAGATGCAGCTATTCTCCAGGCACTAACCTTATTACAGAACTAGTGTCTAATGAAGATGACTACATTTCTTTCATTGATTGCTTTGTAATTAACTGTCTGTGTATTGAGCACACATTTTCTATTTATTCTTTGCGAAAGGTATGTGGTGCGGGCAGGGTCGGACATATTTACTGTCACCAAGTCTGTGCCGTGGTTTGCTGACAGAAATAAGGAGTTATGAGGAACAATTTAAGCAGCTGATCCATTTGAAGGAACTTTCTATTTGTTTGTTTCAAGAGCTGTTGGAACAGATGATAGCACACTTCACCTCTTCCTCTGTCTCCCTCCATTGCTCTGCCAATACACATATTGAAAATTCATTGTGGACCCCCTGCTAGCACAGCAATGCTCTATTTCCAGTGGTCATGAACCCCAGTTCCAGGCTGCTATTAGAATTATGTAGGAATAGGGAAAAGCCACAGTATAGCTGACCAGAATTGCACATCCATTTCCAACCAAGACACCACTACAAGACAAACATTAAAATAAAGCAATATTTATTGAGATTAGTGTGTTGAGCACAATCATTTGGCTGCGATTCTTTTATCATTTTTGCCATTCAGAAAATTGCTCATTGCCACTAATATGAGCTATTCTTCAAGATATACTGTAGATCATCGGGTATAATTTCATCACACATTTTTTTTTGTACTGAGTGCGGTTTTTGAAGTCTAGTCCCTGATTGCAGTGTTCATTACCAGAATCTCTGTAGTACCATCTCATTTTCCTCTACAGAAAATTCTGCCGCTATTAAGACAAAGAGCACCGAAGCACTGAATACAGTATGTAGAGTACATACCATTCTTCATCATCATGGATTCAGACAAAAATGGAGGTACTAGATGTACTATACCGTATGACCTGTTAAGTCTAACATGCACTAATAATGTTCATTTAATGTGCTAATGATTCACTAATGCTTTGTTAATGTCAATTTTTATTGGGCATTCTTAATTTATCTGCAGCAACTTAAACAGCATTCTTTACCAGTAACTGTGTTATTAGTAGTTGTACTATTATTATCTTTAAAAGCCTTTGAGTTTCATGCTAATTCAATAAACTCACTCAAGTTGTTTTACTGCCTTGATTTTCTTTATTTTTCCATATAAGATTAATGTGATTTCTGCAGACAAAATCATGTATTAAATGGAAGCAGGTGAGGTCCATTTCTGTAATGTTTGCTTATTTGTATTAATTAAAGTCTAAAATTGAATCTTTTAAAACAATCATCACCGAGAAAGCAACTTTACTGTGATCAAACTGAGGTTTTAAATTATGTACTGGAAAAAAGGAAAATCTAAATTAAATACCCCTATTCCATTTTTTAACCATTGTTCACATTAATAGTCAAAACAGACCTTTTTAACACCCTCATCTGGCAATTGCTATGTATGTATTCCATTGACGCAAGTGTCAGAAATACATTTTCATCTTGTGTTATTTAACAAGAAAAGATGACAGGATGCTGGGGAAGTAGTTAATTTCTGGTAATTTCAGGTGCTTTGAGAACTGTGGGATAGAGACATTGAACTTGTTCCCCTTGATCTCTCCTGTTGGTCAATTGTTTAAATAAGTAAACAAACAGCACCAATACATGGATGTCTTTCTGCTCACTACACACATTCATGCTACCCACTAAAAAGCACATATTAGACTTCCAGTCTAATT